CGCAGAGCAAGCATTGGCTGCAGGAGCAGGTAGCAGGCGGCCCCTGCGAGGGGCGGCGGGGATGCTGCGGGGGGCCGGCAGCCCCGGGGGCCGTGGCGCCGCTCCTGCCCCCGCTGCCCCCCCCAGCGGACCCCACCCGCTGTGCGGGGCGCTTTGGGGGGAGCCCCGACCGCACAGGCCCACGCAGAGCCATGGCTGGGTCCTCTCCCCGCCCCGCCCCCCCGCCATGGTGCGCAGGGCAGGCAGAGGGGGCTCTGTGGGGCAGACGGTGCTGCAGATGGCTCTCTGATTGGGGGCATCTCTGCCGTGGCCGGGGCGGCCGGCTTCAGTTGGGGTGGGGGGGGGGCAGAGCAGGGCCACATTGGCTTGGCTGCAGCCCCCACCCCATGGCTCACTCATTCCTCGGGGCCACAGCAAACAAGGCACTGCAGCAGCGGCCAGCTGCTTGTTGCAGGCATGGCAGCTCAGCCCCTGCGGAAGATGGCGGAGGGGATGCCGCAGCATTCATCTTGAAGGCCCTGCTTCTGCTGCATGGGGCGGGGGGGCGGCTCTGCATGCCCTCCCTGCTTGCCCCCCCAGCCAGAGGAGTTTGTGCCCCTGCAGGAGAGATCATGCCCCGCTAGAGAGCTGCCCTCCTGCCCATCACAGGAGCTGCCTCCAGGCAGAGGGCAGGTTCAAGATTAGGCAGAAATGGGGCGCTGTGCAGTTTAGTCATGTACCAGTGAAGCCGGCTGGGTCAGCGACCACCATGAGATCTGGTAGCATGCCTTGCCAACAGCCGTTGAAGACGTCTCCTCCAGCATGGCTTGCAGGCGGATGCTTTTCATTGTCTGCCGTGTGCGCAGCGTTGCGTTCGCCTCCCAAATCGCAAATGTTCCACCCTGCCCGCTCTCACGTCCCACATCGGCGCACCAGCTGCTCTCTGGTGTGCCCCATACTGGGTGTGCGCAAAGCGGGGGGTGGCGTGGGCCGCCCAGCAACCTTGGCCAGAAACGCGAGGCGACAGGGCTCTGCAGCCGCCCCAGCAGCCGACAGCGCCGTTCCCGCTCGCAGGCCAGGCAGTGGCTCCCCCGGCCGGGAGGCCTGTCAGGCCGCATTAGAGGCAGCCGGGCGCCCGCGGCCTCTGCGCGCGAGTCCGCGCTGTCAGGACGCTCCGGCTCATCCATTTCAGCTGTCCAGACGGGCCGCCACTGACATTCTCCTTAACGTTTTGTAATCATGAAATATTAATGGCGGCTATTGAATTTAAAATACAATTTGCGTCTGAATCCCCTGCTGGAAAGGGCAGTCATGAAGGCCGTCCTTCAAGACTGGGGGGGGGCCCTTCAGGGGAAGCCTTGGAGCAGGGGGGCGGGGGGCAGCACAGCCGGGGGCCGGGGCTGCAGGGTGGGGTTCTGCCCGCCGGGGGTGGCTCTTCACGCCAGGCAGCCCTGCCTGCTGCTGCCCAGCTCCTGGACGAGGGGCCCAGGCCGGATGTCCAGCCCCCCCCCCCCCGCTCAAGCCCAGCATCTGCACGCAGCAGTGCCGGCTCTCCGGGGGCAGTCGGAGCCTGCGAGGCCCTGTCCCCGGCAGGCCCAGCTCCCGCTCTTGCAGCCAGGGCCGTCTTCACGCACGGGCCTGATGGGCACTTGTGCACGTGAACCCTTGGAAAATGGGAAAGCTTCCAAAATTAGCAGTCGTTGCAGTTGTGCTAGGGGCCCCAGGACACTGCTTTGCCCGGGGCCCATCACGCTGTCCAGGCGGCCCAGCTTGCAGCGGGGCGCCCGGTGGTCTGGGCCCGCCGGCTGCGTGGGGCCGGTATGCTGCCCACAGGCCTCGCCGCTCCCCGGGAGCGCCACTAGAGCAAAAGCGCTCGGGCTCCGTGGCTCTGGGTGCACGGTGGGAGGGAGGCGCTGGCAGCAGTGCGCCCCCCTCCCTCTCTGCAGCCCCTGCCGTGGCCGCTCTCCGGGCGTGAAATGGCTCTCCCAGCAGCTCTGGCCCGTGCGCCATGTTTGCGCAGATAAATCTTCATCTCTCGTACAAGCTGTTTACCTTCCTTGGGCTAATATTAGGGATTCTCTCCCTGTTTTCCCGCGCACCCGTGTCGAATGACCGGCCCGCTGGCCCGCGGTGGCCACGGCTGGTAATTGAGGTGATAAATCTTGCTGTCGAGCGGCTTGAATCCGAGCGCTGTGTTTGCACCCCCATTTAATTACGCTGCTGCCACGGAGCAGTGCCAGGGCTTGGGGGGGGTGGCAGTTTGGGGGGGACCA